TCTGTCTCGCATATTACAGGATATAGAGGCCAGATAAGAGGCACACATCGGCGCGATGTGGCGCCGTGCTATCCTCCGCCAGGACTTTTCGCGCGCGTGATCTGCGGCCCGCCGAGGTCAAGGGTCGCCGGTATTCGCACGCTAGGATTCATGACCGTGGAGCTTCGCGGAAATTCGATACCATTCCGCGACGTCGCCGAGGAGGTGCCTCTGTCCAGCCGGGGGGGGGGGGAAGGAAAGATTCTTTTATTTTATTCGCTTTCTCGTGCGGGCGCCCTCGCGTATACATACAACCCCGGCCATTTATTACCGCGTCACGAGAGAACCTGGAGGAGGTCGCGCCTGTTCTGCTCTGTTCCGTTCTGTTCCGTTCCTGGCCGTGTGCATACACACAATGTGGCGCGGTGCGGCGGCGGCAACGGTTGTTTTAGGAATTTCCGGTGGAATAGGTACCTTCGTGAAGGCATCGCCGCCGTCTGGTGAGGGGCATAGGCGGCGAGGAGAGAGGGCGTGAGAACCAGGATCTTTTGTCTGGTCCATGGTTCAAGCGAGACGCGGCGCGATCGCGGTGCTCAACCTGGAGACGCTCGCTTACGGAAATTCCCGAAGGTTTTCATTTTCTATCGGATCGGTCTCTGCAATTTTACATATAAAGTTTTGGAGAACTTAAATAAATTTGGTCGACAATACAAATGAAACGTTTATTTTTTTCCAAGTTTGTATTCTAATAAAATTATAATATTTTACTGGGCGATCTCAACATTCAAAATATTTAATAGCTTTCCTCATCATATCATAATCGCGATCTTAGAAATTTTTACTTTCTTGTTATCTTATATTCTGTTTTATTTTCATGCAAGATGGAAGATTGGTTAAGATTGTGTAGCATTAGGTGTATTGGTGAATACGAATACTGCTGGAGCCATTCACACTTTTTTTTTTAATCTCCGTACGAAAATTCCGCATGCCACTTCCTGCTTCAGTTTCTTCCCGTTGCTCCGATTCCACGGAGAGAAACTCGCTTCGCAAAGATCGGAACATGCTTCGCGCATTAGGATGCCATTATGGTGGACGGGGTTTTACGAAATCCCCGGTGCGCGGTGATCGGCGCGGTAAACGAAAGGCCATTACTTGACATACAATCCGGATTCCGTTGTATACGTTGTATTCACCTCGCTTTGACTAATAATTGTTTCAACGACTGACGCCCGTTTGTAGCGACGAATCGCATTGTCTATTCGTCATTCTAACACCGCGGTATCGTGCACTCATCGAGATATCGAGGTATTGAGATTGGATACCGCGAGTACCGCCTGGATGTGGGAAATGCCAATTCATTGATTACCGCAGTCATTTCTACCTCATTCCGCGGCATAACTCGTTCGCAAATCACGCGATCATGACTGTCGTTGCGAAGCCGGCGGGAGCGATCGTAAAATTGTCCTGATTCGAGAGATAATGGGCCCAGTTCTCAACGACTCGTGATTCAGAAGGCCTTATGCGCTAAATATTATGATTCGACAATCTCGCAATGTTTCCACTTTACGTTCATACTTTTATTTTTATCAATGCGAATATTTTATTTGATAATTAAATTTATATTAATAAATTAAACACACGCATACACACATTTATACACGCACGTCGCGTAGTTATGATTTTTTTAAATTATATTAGAGCTTTTGATAGATAATATAAGAAGCGGGCCATAGGGCAAAGTGCTATTGGCAATATTAATTGCTTCTGCGAGAGTCGTAACTGAACGTTGTTCATATTACGCGTCTCATTGGCGATGTAACGGAATAATAAGAGCCTAATATTACTTCTAATATCAACGAATAGCAACGTACCTGACGCACGTTGTTGCGTGTAACGAGAGTTGCATTACAGGTAGAGAATCATAGCTCATTATGAGCGCACGGTAAATCGCCCTTGCACGATTATATGGTGAGAGATGTTTCCTACGCCCATTAGCGTACACATAAAATTCCTTATCTACTTGTGAGAAATCGCATAGCAACATGTGTATCTACATGGTATCTCTAATTATCGCATTTCCCTCGGCTGAGGATGATTCTGCGTGAGTTAAGGAATGCCTGCCGTTTCTTTTAAATGCATCGTTATTTTCTACGCCGGAGTTTTCCGCGAGTCAAGATTTTGATTGACTCGGAAGAATTTTTAACGAGATTTAATTAAATGGGAGCGATATAAATTTAAGTTTACAATTAACTTACAATTAACTTTATATACAGGTTGCTACCGCGAGCGGTATATCCCGCGTGGGAAATATTATTTGAGCAACACATTTAAATTCTGCATTCAGGAGGATACTAATGGTACATTCTAACTTAGCATTTTTATATTTTAACTTGAAAAGACAGTTATAATAAAAGCAATTTTATTCAATTTATTATAATTATTATGTAAAATATTTATTAATTATCTATCAATATGATTATTATTGAGCTACGTTACAAAATAGTTAAAATATCATTTGTCGCAGCAGGAGTATGTTATTATTATTATTTATTCATATTAGCTCCGCGTTCTACTTAAAAATTATTCTGTTCGCATCGAAATCAAATTACGTGAAATTATTTATGCAAAATAATTTGATTGACGGAAAGGATAAGGGGGATCGATGAGAATCACTGTGCGTAACTATCGGAATATAGGCTCGATGTCAGCCGACTGGCGTGACCCTTGATAGACAGGAGGAGGTTTGGTGAGACTTCGTGTATTAATTAAGGCGAATTAGCCTTGGCGCAAGCCGGACAACGTCGGCCGATCGGTTCCGTGTATCGAAGGATACGCCGATGATCGCAGGCCAGTCCGCTCTGTGGATTTCTCTACAAAGTGGTAGTGCTTCGAGTAGTACCCCGTTATTAACAATGTACGTATGCACTAATGCCGAAGGCTGCGATTACCTTCGCTGGGTTAACGATTTCCTGACGAGCACGCTCCTCCGCATTGTTCCCGCTGGTCGTTGCAAATCATCGTTGCTCTCTTTTCTGCAAATAATTTCCCATAATCTTAGCTGCCCATATGCTCAGCCGGGCTCCACTCTCGATACATCAACTTGATTTACGAAGTTCAAAGAGACCATTTGACGAGTCTGGCTAATTATCAGATATCATATCGATTGACTCGGCTAATTTAAAATTCACATTTGAGTGAAAATTTTGGGATGAAGTGAGTTCATATATGTACTTAATTTAAGAAAAAAAGAGACAAAAATCAGATTTTGATCAGATTAAAATAAATTTTAAATTATGAATTTGTATGTAAAAAATTAAAATTATAATTGTATATTTTTTTATATTTTTAATAATTATTTACTTCGAAAATAATGTTTATTTTTACGATATCGAAAGAGAAAGAGACTCGCTTGCCGATGAGAGGAGCAAATTCAATTGTGCCTAAAAGTAGGATGAATTATTGGATATATAATTTCAAGGTGCGTAGAAGATGTTCAGCGCCTCATTACAGCCTCAAACTGACATCACGTGAATGTTGTATCCATGACACGCTTCTACCTTTTTTTTTTTTTTTTTTTTTTCTAGTCGTTCTAATCGAGAGAGCTGTTAGTTCGCTCCTCATTACCAGCACGCATCGTGTCGCTTAAACATGCGTCCTAGCAACTTTCTCACATGTTGTGATGTGATAATTACATGCCTCGTATTGCAAATGTCTCGAAGCGTACAGCTTCGTTAACCGAAGCTGGTTAACGGCGGATCTCTCTCGGCAAAATGTATTGTATATATATATATATATGAGCTGCTCCTAATTTATGCATTCAATTATGTCAGCATTATATCAGCATATATATCAACATGGTATAGTAAATATTATATGCAATACAACGTAAAACAGCTCAATCTACTTCAGGAAGATTAACGAATCGCGAATCACATAAAACATTAGGATGTATTGTTGTGTAGCTTAATACGTTGGGTAATATCTTATTTGTGCATTGCGGTATGATACAATACTGTCTTTGAAGTTGCACTTTGCGTGATTCTAACAGACTTGTCTCAAGATAAATGACTCGTCTCGCTATCCCGAGGTGTAACAAAGAACGCGGTATGTCATTACGCGGTAATTAAACAATGTCGCTGGCGCACTTTCCTGCACGCGTGACAAATGAATCGTAATGCATTTGCATTTTGAAAAAAAAATGTATCGCGGCGAGATTAATGGACATATATCGATCACTGTACTATAGACACGCTAAAAAAAAAATGTGAAAATATAAAGTTCATAAAGTTCATAAAGTTTATATATCTTCAAATAAAATAAGAAAAATGAAAAATGAAATACAATGCAATTTTAACACAAGAGCAAATGTAATTTTCGAGTACGAGAATTTTATACAAGTTTTTCTCATCTAATTTGCATCTTTCACGTTTTTATCTTACTCGACCTATCGTCTCTCGACCTTCGCTGTGCGCGGATGAACACGCGCCGTTCGTGAGAGCGACGTGCCGTAAATGATCGGCTAATCTCGCGATTAAGCAACATGCCGGGAAGAAAGGGAGAACGAACGGCGGGGTGGGTAACGCGACATTAATCTACGGCGCAATAAATGCGCGGACCGCCCGTAAAAACGCGATCGAAATGCATTAATAACGGGAGAACTAATGCGACTCTCGTCCGTTGCCCATCGGCCGATATTACATGCGCGCGGCTTGTAAATGGACTAATTACTCACGATTACGCAACGATCGTGAGCACCTTCCTTCACAACGTCATTAGTCGTTTCGCCGGCACGTTGCGCAATAATATTCGCCCGATAGGCGTCGAGACGGCGTTTAAGAGCCGATTTAGATCCACCGCGAAGAAACAGAGAGGGCGGGGGGGGAGGGGGAGAAGATTGCGTTCGATCACTCGCGCCCCTGAAGTCCGATCCTTTCCAATCGACGTGATTCGAGAGATCGGGGAAAACTTGTCGTTTCCCATCGTCTTTAATTACCCTGACTTTCAGGTACGACGCGGCTTAGCTCGTTAATTTACCATTTGGTAATTAAACACGCGGTACCGTCGAGAAGGGGACGTTAATATTCCTGGAATGACTGGTTTTCTTTCTACGTTTGCGCGGCACTACGAACTGTTACGAACAATGCCGAATAAACGCCGGCAATCCATTTTCCGCGAGAGACGCGAGTGTGTGCGCGTTATCCTATTATTCTAGACTCAGCACAATGAGATGAAACACGGGGAGAGGATAGAGAAGGCGCTTTTTCGTAGAAAAGAAATGGCTCTCTGTCTCCGCGTATCAGGCACCTTCATCTAGGCGCGAAGCCGTCGCGCGAACGGCGAAAGCGCGAGAGGATCCCTCTCGTTAAAACAATCTCACGGGTCGATCTCCCCTTTCGCGCGCACCACCGCGATAATTAAAATGTCCGATTTATAAAGATTAATCGTTCTTAATGCGTAATAATAAACGTGCGTTAGCTCTGCCTCGTCCCGCGGTCGGAGAAGCCCGCGACTTGGCGGCGGCTCACGCCCCACGACGCGATAATTGTTCCGGCCGTGCCTTAACACCGGCCATTTGCAAGGGCAAATACCAAATTGAGGGTTAAGCATCGGGATCCCCCCGCTTCCCTCCGCGCCCGACCAATCTTTGCGGTAATAACACTTCTCGTCTTGACCTGCTGTGACTTACGGCCTGCAGCTCCAGCCGAGGTGTACCTCCCCCCCCCCCCCTCCCCTCGACCGGCACGGGGGATTCGCGGACGAATGCGCAAATATATCGATCAAACCGCGACGGTTTCCATGAGATCGAAGCATCCTAGAAAGCACGGGCACGTCGTCGCCTCCGTCGTTCCAGCCGGGCCATTACCCGAGTTCAACCAGCCGCGGATTTAATGGGATCGCGAACCGGCCACCTGATCGTAACGTTCGATTCGCCAGTCCGTCTTCGTCTCGCGCTGCACGAAGCGGATGAACTTGATGGTGATTACGTCATCGTCCTGCGACCGAGCCGTATCCATAGTATATCTGAAGCAATCTTCACTCCGTCTCTCGATTTCATCTTTTCCGTGGAATCACGCGGCGTACAATGATTTTTCTTAGTACAAAACGTGTTTAGAATGCGATTAGGATTAAAATGATTTTAATGATCAATTATTAAATTAATTTTTTTAGGATTGTGTGTGCAGGACTAGAAGTTACTATACTATATAAGAAAATTGCTTGTTAAGAGACCAATTTTTAATTTAGATAGTTAAATTTTATCGAAATCTAACTTATTGCGTTCAACGTTTTTCTATTTTCTAGCTATTTTTTACGTAATAAATTTATGTTAAACATTATATTTGTATTACACGATCTAATTATCTTTATTATTTTAGATTATACAAACGAATATTAATAACAGAGTTGCTATTTCTAGATTTCTTTAGGAAACTTTAATACATCAGATTTTTTATTACTGAAACGTGATAAGATTAAATTTCGCATAAATCAAATTTCTTAATGTATATTGCATTTTATTTCTAGCCAAATGGTGAAATATTACGTACTTAAAAATAGTAAAACTTAATATATTTTGCAACATTTATTTATCAAGTTTGTGTTTCAGAGTACATATTTTCATGTTTGCTAACTGACAATTTGACACAAATGTTTATACAACATATTGACGAATTTTTTACTATTATTTAATTTAATTCCGGTAAATAATTTCGATTGTAGTCATATTGCCAGAAATCTTCAGGTGATGGTACAATCGGAATGAATAATTCGTCGCACCATACACGAGTACAAAGCACGGCGCCATTAGAATGGCATGTACAAGTATTGCATCCGTCGAAGTGTTTCTTGCCCGGTACACATTTTCACAACACTATATAAACGATAAGAAAAAAAATTTCTCTGTTAATTTCTACACAATAACGTATAATATTCTAATCGAATTTAAGCTTTTGTTTCCGTTGAATTAAAAATGATTAGATATATTTAATAGTTAAAAACAGGATTTTAAAGCAATTTAAAATAACAATTTATTTATTTAATAATTAATTTATTATATTATATATGTTTTTGTGGTAGTCAATTGGACGATATATCAGTACACAATTCAATGATCATTTAATGGATTTTATAATTTGATATAAAGTTTTATATTGTTTTTATGTAATAGAAATATTTAAGTTTTTAATTTTAATACCAAATCTTTTTTGCGCGATATGATTAGCATATATTTAAGTCTCGCAATATTACCTGTGTTGTTAATAGTATGCAGTACGCGCAAAACTCATATAATTGGATATAAAATTTATATGTATATGGATTTCTGAAATAGGAAGCGTAAATATGAAAACATGAAATTTATATCGTCGTAAAATGCTTAAAGATGTGGATTTTTGTTATGACGAGTTTATATGGAAATACAGACGCAACAAATATTTTACTATTTCTTCCTTAATATGTGTATGCATGATTAAGAAATTTTTTTAACAAACTCGGCTTCGAGAAATGTAACTTTCTTCTTTAAGTAACAGGAAGCAAGGATATTAATGCGCTTGTTAATATTCGCACCAATAAATCCTATCGTCAAGATATGCTGATAATTATTTTATTTATCTGTTGCAGGTGAGAAGCCGTATCAGTGCACGTGGGAAGGCTGCACGTGGAAATTCGCACGATCGGACGAGCTGACGCGGCACTATCGCAAACACACGGGCCAAAAGCCGTTCAAGTGCCATCTCTGTCAGCGATCGTTTTCGCGAAGCGACCATTTGTCGCTCCACATGAAGAGGCACTGATGGTGAGGACCGTCTAGGGCCGCGCGACGCGAGAGAAAGCGCACGTCGATCGCGCGCGGGCGAGGGAATGGAGGAAAGCCGGAGAATGGTCCTCGATAATCGGCTAGCGATCCCGAGTGATCCTAGACGAGAAACGACGATGATATTTCTTTCTTACATTTGGGACCTGAAGAGCCGCGCCGCGTGCCGGCCCGTACCGAACCTCCAGGTCGGACCGGTCGGCCGACAGGGCGGACAGTAACTAAGGGAAAAAAAAAAAAAAAAAAAAAAAAGAGAAAATAAATCGACGAAGCAAACAAATCGCGTTCAT